TTCTGTTAGACACCAAGGTCCATTTGTTACGAGAAACAGAAACTTATCAGGCCACAGAGACATGGTGTGATTTCAGGGAGTGTTCTCAGTACATATAATCAGCTACCCTCCTCCTTCTCCTCAGACGCTGAAAATTAATAAAATAAGTAAAGTCTGAATGCTTTTCTTGGCTGATTTTATGCTCCGTGTGTCAATACAAATTATGATTCATCGATTGAGATTCTCATTCTCAACACATGTTAAGTAGAGTTGTTAAGAGCTGTTAACACCTCCCGCTCCCCCCGCACTTTCCCCGCATCTCCCCACCCCCTCTCCCCCCTTTGTAGGATTCCGCATTCAACAGTATTCGACTGCGGCCGGCGAAAACGCACTGCCCCGCCAACTGTCGATATCTGTCGCTCACGAGCTGCGTCCGCGTCAGAATACAGGGTCAAAAATCCCACTTTTCGTCCAGTGTTTGGTTTGCATTAACCTACAGAGGCCAGGGGTACACCCATACCAGATTACCCCAAGGCTACTCGGAAAGTCCAAGCATATTTTGCGAGGCAATTATGACCTGCTTATATGATTTCCAAATATCAGAAAAAAGTCAACTATTAATATATGTTGATGACCTGTTAATAGCATCAGAAAGCGAGGAAGCGTGCAGAACAGACTCACTCACTCTGCTGCACCACCTCTGTGAAACGGGAAACAAAGTGAGCAAAGATAAGCTACAGTGGGTGAGAGAAGAAGTAAACTATTTGGGACACACACTCTCAGATGAGGGAAAGCAAATACAGAAAGCAAGAAAAGAGACAGTAGCTGAAGCACCAAAACCTGAAACTAAAAAACAAATTATGTCCTTCCTCGGACTCTGCAACTACTGCAGGGTCCGAGCAGTAGTTGCTCGGACCCTGAGCAACTACTGCTCAGGGTCCACACAGCATAGTGTGGAAGCAACCACACAGCATAGTGTCGAAGCAACGTTGCTTCGACACTATGCTGAAAAAACTCAGGCTTTACAGGATTTGATTCATGGCACCCCAATGGCCATGACTGACAAAATAACTTGGAATCCAGAAGCTGAAAAAAGATTTACTGAACTAAAACTAGCTTTGATACAGACAACAACTTTAATTCTTCCAAATTATGAAAAGACTTTTGTTCAAACTGTGGGTTGCAAAAATGGATTTATGACTTCTGTGTTAATACAAAGCCATCGTAATAAGCTAAAACCTTTAGCCTTTTACTCAAAGAAACTAGACCCAAGCAGCACAGTCCCTACCAGACTGCGTGCAAGCAGTCTGCGTAGCAGCGTTAGCAGTAAACATGTCAGCAGACATAGTTTTGTTTCACAAAATGGAGCTGTTAGTTCCACACGCTGTGGATGTTCTACTATTACAGAGCAAAATTAATTTGCTCTCACCAGCATGACACCTTTCGTACACAGCGACGCTTTTGTCACAACCACACATTGTGATAAAACGGTGTACAATACTGAAGCCAGCAACATTGCTTCCATTACCAAATGATGGAACTCCACACAGTTGTCTAGAAGCTACTGAACACCTGCAGCTTCCTAGATCAGACCTACAAGACATTCCTTTAGCAACTGGAGAAGTTGCTAAAGGACTTCTCCTTTAGCAACTGTATGGTCCTTTGGATCATGCTCAAAAGACCATACAGGAAAAAATCAGACAGGTTACTCTGTTGTTGCTTTACCTAACAAGGTAATTGAAGCTGAGAAACTACCAAGCACTCATTCTGCACAGGCAGCAGAACTGATTGCTTTAACCAGAGCATGTGCACTAGCCAAGGACATGCACCTGACGGTGTACACTGATAGCCAGTATGTTTTCTCTACGCTGTTCTATTTTGCAAAACAATGGGAACGTAGAGGAATGACAACATCTACAGGGAAACCAGTAACTCATGTGTCCTTGCTTAAAAATCTTTTGCAAGCAATACAACTCCCAGCTAAGTTGGCAGTCTGAAAATGTGCAGCTCATACCGCAGGAAAAGATGAAGTTTCAAATGGTAACAGACTAGCTGATAAAATAGTTAAAGAAGCTGCAGCAGGGAAGCATGGAAAGGACAATTTCTCAGCACAGGCTGAAGAACAACAAATGATTGACTAAACAGTGTTAAAAGACATGCAAGATAACGCGCCGCAGGCAGAAAAACGAATGTGGATAACTAAGGGTGCGAAAATGAATGATGAGAAAATTTTTCAAATAAATAACAAACCAGTTGTCCCAAAGTCTTTATTTAAAGCAGCCGCAATTGTGGCACATGGGCGGTGCCATGTGTCAACAGGGGGAATGATGGGGATGATACAACAACACTTCACAACATATGGATTAAATTCTTACCTAAAATTTTTTTGTTCTGCATGTCCAGTCTGTGTTACACACAATCCTCAAGGGAATATAAGGCCAAAAAGAGGAAGTTTCCCAAAACCCTCATATCCATTTCAAACAATGCATATGGATTTTATTGAACTCACACAAAGTGGACCATACAAATATTGTTTAGTAATGATTGATGCTTTTTCTAAATGGGTTGAAATAGTTCCAGCAAAATATGCAGATGCCTTGACAGTAGCTAAAGCTATATGTAAAACTATTATTCCAACACACGGCATCCCACAGACTATTTACAGTGACAATGGGCCCCATTTTGCAAACCAAGTGATACAAAACATGACTACTCACTTGGGAATGAGATTGAAAAACCACTGTGCCTATCACCCTCAGAGTGCAGGCCTGGTGGAAAGAGCAAATGGTACTGTGAAAAGCAGATTAAGAAAATGCATGGAAGACACTGGCCGGCCCTGCCCAGAATGTTTAGATTTGGTGAAGCTCTATATGAGAATCACCCCAACAGCAGATGGTTTAACACCTTTTGAAATAATTCATGGGAGAGGTTACAGATTGCCTCTGTTTGGTCCGGATTTACAGAAAGCAGATGAAGAATAAATGTTAGTAGATTATATGATCAGAACTCTTAAACTGAAGGAAGTGTCCAGTACAAATTTACTGCCTTCTGATTCTCTTCCTTCGCAGGAGACCACTCCCATCGAGCCAGGAGACTGGGTCTACATTAAAGTCATCAAACGAAAGAACTGGGCGAGTCCACGGTGGGAAGGACCGTTCCAGGTGCTGATGACCACACCAACAGCTGTAAAGATTGCTGAACGACCCAGCTGGATACATCTGAGTCACTGCAAGCTGCAGAGAGTGTTGGACCTCTAATCCTGAGTGACAGGGAAGTTCTGGCTTCACAGGGGTTCCATTTTTTAGGGTGGTTCATCTCAACGCCAGTGAAGAAACTCGACAGATCCTCACTCTTTAGTTTGGGGGCTTTGACATCTCTGCGCGCCGACACGCAATGGGGACTCCATATGCCAGATGGATCTTCTACTGCGCTGTGACTGCAGCATGTCTGATGTTTGGAGGAGGAAGTGACCTCACTTTCCACCCACATGACTACAGCACCTACCTGTGGTGGCAACTGATGAACAGAACTGCCCACGAGGAGAACGAGATGAACTGCTATGTGTGTGCGCAGCTGCCAATTGCCACACACAACTCAGGTCTGCGCCTGGGGAACATCACTGATGACAAACAGCTGTGTCTCTATGGCCTGAGCACACAACCACAACTCAACGTCCCCATGCCAAAGGGATGCAAATGGTGCAAAAAGGATTATTCTATTCTACTTCGGACAGGAGATGCCGCAAAAGGACTTTTTGGATCTATGAACTGTTCATTTAATGCTGACGTACTTCCGTTTCCACCGTTTCCACAAACCGCATGGAAAATACCAGAGACCATTTCTTTAGCAGGAGCTAAACCTGGGTCTCTGAGGAGCTGTGTTTACGACAACGGACATGTTTCTCTTGGGATGTTACCTTGGAATTTGTGTAACAAAGTTTACACCTACTGTGAAATGACACCGGATTACATCAATTGCATTGCCTGCAGGGGTCAGAGGGTGACCCTGGCTGCAAAGTCTGGAAGGACAATCCAGACTGTGACGACTTGCTTCAGGAGAGGAAATTCAACATCACACATCGGACGAGAGGATGACAGGAGACAACACTGTGCAGTCCCATAATGCCAGGAGACTATGGTTCATGGGTGATGGCTGATTGGTACTTCCTGTGCGGAAATGGAGCTTACATGTTTTTGCCGAGATATTGGGGAGGACTATGTGCTTTGGTCCCCCTAACCAGCATGATTGCATTCATCAGGAAAGCACAACACGGTCCAGCCGCCCGCTCCAAGCGTGCAGTTATGCCAGAGGTCAAAAGATGGGGAGGCCTCACTACAGACACTGGAGTTCCTTGGGAATTCAAGATTTGGGGCGGCGGAGAAAGGTTTATGCAAGGCCTGTTTCCATGGGTCGGAGTAGGTGAGATTCGAAGTCATGTTGAAATCAATAGGTGTGGATTACTGCGACTCATCAACAGCACACACCAGCTGGCCAACGGCACCGTGAGAGAGCTGACTGAACTGAGAAACATGGTTCTGCAAAAATGTGTTGTACTGGACTTCCTCACAGCCTCTCAGGGAGGTGTTTGTAAAATTATTGGCCCAGCGTGCTGCACGTTCATCCATGATGAAACAGGAACTGGTGGAACTATTTCTGACGCTCTACATGAACTGGAGGAACTTAAACATTATGTGGAAAATGGAATGCATGGATCACATCTTTTTGATTTTTTTTCTTGGCTCACTTCCGACCATGGTGGAATTTACTGTTGAAGCTTGGAACACCTATTCTGGGTGTTTTGATTCTTTTTTGCCTATTCACAAGTTGCATTATTCCATGCCTTCGAAGCATGATGCTAAAGACAATTAACACTGCTGTGATCAGTTACCAGCTGGTCAGATCAACTTCTAACACCGATGAGGACGACTTGTTTGATATGGACAAAGATGCTGAATAGTGGATTATATGATGATGTTCTGTAATTGATAGAGATTTTTGGTATTATCATTTTGTTATTACTTTAGTTCATATTCAGTCTAATGTTAATCAGTATTATTGTG